TCATTCTGCTTCTCCAGTGGAGCCAACTAGGATGTCAGCCTCTGCAACACAGGCATACAGTCCTGTACCTACATGTACGGGTGTGAAACTGCTTTAGGCTTCCTGTGATTCAATTTTTACAATCTGAAACAAACGTTTTGTTGTTATTCAGACTGAGGCAAAAATCTGATTTGTTAATAATCAAGAGATCTTTCTGCCCTGCTGATTTCAGTGGCATAACTATTTTCTACAGAGGTGAGTCCAGAAGAAGGGTGTGTCAGGACTGGGGTTCCATGTTCCCCGAGTAGAGACACTCTGCACCAAAGTCAAGACCAGAGCTTAAAGACCACTCATCAAATAACTGCATATAAGCTAAAAAGGGAAAGAATCTCCTCCTTCCACAGATCAGCCTGTTGAATTAGATTCTTCTTCAACAATTTCACAAACTACACATCTACTCAATCAATGAACGGAGGGATGGGGTGGAAAGTAAAAACTTAAAAGAAGCAAAAACTTACTTGGACGAACATATACTCCAACTCCCGGTTCATCTTGTCTCTTTATCAAGCCTCTAGCTCATGCTGTGAATCTGCTGGTTTTCTGGATGCCTCCAGCCACACACGCCACAAGACCATACACTAACTGATCGAGCACTGAGCTCCAGAGCTTGCTGGTGGATGAAACCTTCCCATTGTGTCTGCAGACACAAGCAGCGTTCACTGACGCTCCCCAAAAGTTCCTCGCCCTGTGACAGATGACTGGCCATCCCTGCTGTCTATCACATACCCGGGCTTCCTTCCTCGATCACATGAGTCCTGAAGCAGACAGACTTTTGGAGCGAGCAAACAGGACTTTCCCACAAACCACTGACATAGCTCCAAATAACAACTGTGTGACAGACGAACAGACGAGCAGTAAACCTGAATCTTTTTCCAAACACACACGATTAAAAGAGTGTCAGTGTTTTAGAAGAGCACAATGTCTGTGGGACATTTGTGTAACTTTTTACATCAAACAAAATTTCTAATGATAATAATTTTTTTCGGTTTGCATTGTATAACAATGACAGTGATTTCATATACTTTCAGACACTGGTTCAAAACAAACGATGTTGAAATAAGATGCCAACGCTGTGTTTCTCAGATCATCTCTCAAATAACGGTGACACTGGAACACTTGTAATAGCTGAAATCACTATTTTTGTCATAAACTTGCAGCTCTATTCTCTGTCCATCTGCCTTGGTGTGTCGGTGTGTGTTGGCCAGGCATTGACTACATGCCAGAGCATATACAACATGACTGTGCAATTACTTTAACCAGGTTATGTCGGTAATCTAATGCACATGCTCTAAATTAGAGCAGAGGAGAAAATAAATAAATCACTAGCTTTAGATAATGTAAAATTCTCCACCTGATGCAGCTGAGGTGACACCTACAGCACACAAAGCATGACTGCTCTGTTCCGTGACATTTCTAAATGCTGCTGAGGTATAATATGAAATGTATTCAGATATAAATTGAGTTTTGTTTACTGAGAATGCTGCCTTTTGTTCTGTATATAAGGCACTGTCATAAGGTCATGCTTATCTGAGGGGATCTCTGTTTACAAATATCATTGTATTGCTGTTCCACTTAAAAAAAATTAAAAAGAATTACATTACATTACAATCACAGCATCTTTCTACCATATGTGATTTTAAGTTACATCAGCTATGATTCAAAATCATTCATTCAAAACATTTTTTTCTGAATGGCTTGGATTGGTCAGACTTAAATATCATTTTGTCTCACTTCATTCATGAATGAAACCTTCATTCAGTTAGAAAACCCCTACTGTTGGCTGTGGGTTCAAAGGGTCAAGCAAACTGTGCTTTTACCAACAGCCCAACCAGTGACATCACAGCAGTTGCTTTCCTCTCTATCGGGTGCTCATGACAACTCTCACTATGCGACCATAGGTTTAATACGTAGTGTATAATTGATTTGTGCTTTATGAAAACCTATTGTGGGCAGCCTACAGTTTGATTTTACTCATCACTTACACAGAGATTTCAATGTACTGAAGATGTTTGTCTTGCAATACAAATGCTGCGCTGTGTAAGAGCTGCAAAAATAAGAAAGAAAGAAGCTAATGGTAACATTACCAACTTCCTGTCCGGACCCTTCCTAACCAGGCCATATCAGAGGGCACCACCAGTGCTCCTGAGCATAGTGAGCATAGTTCATTAGTGTCTCACCACCAGCTCCTGCTGAGGATTGACAGTCAACCACAGCTAGATTAAATTTACCCATACACACCAATCAAGGCTGTCTGAACTGCCATCAGAGGCAAAGCATCTCTGTATGACTCTGCATCTCCTACATAGTACATTTGTGAAATACAAAAACTACAGACGCTATCGTTTCCTTTTCAGCTTATGTTCATGAATCAAGCAGAATCTAGTGATTCTAAAAAATACACTATATGCTCTTATTGTGGTACAGCAAAACACTCAAACAACATGTAGTATGTATTTTTGAAACTTAAGCCTGTGTGTGCAGGAACCTCTCCCACTCTGGGTCATCTAATGGGGCATCGCCTCACTTCCATTTCCAGGAGAATGTCCTCCCTCTCTTCCATTTCTGCTCCTTGTTGCACAGCACGGTTTCACCACCTCTGACCACAGTTTTGACCATGATTTTTTGTTACTTGGCTGAAGAGGATGGAACAGACTGACTCGAGTCTAATGAAAAAGTCTTCACCTCTGACTCACCTCTCTTTATACTGGTGGTCAGGTCAGGCAGGAGCCAAACGTACAGTGGAGCAGAATCTGACGCTGCGTGTGTGTGTGTGTGTGTGTGTGTGTGTGTGTGTGTGTGTGTGTTAACCAAGCAGCTCAGACCCACTCAATAAGCTTCTATAAGACTGACTCATACACACAAAGGGCAGAGTGTTTTCTACCCCTGTACTGGAAAAGTAAATCAGAGAGGGGTCTGACATCAGGGGCTGACTTCTAAAACAGACTCTACCATTCAAAGCAGAAACCAGCAGAAACCAACTTTAGGTTTCCCAGCCACACTGACGCATCCAAAGTTCCCCCTATTAATTTGCAATTAAAACCATTTAACAGCCAACAAGATTCTTATGGAATAAGACAGTCAAATTGAAGGCTGGCAACAAGCCAGATCCTGCTGGCAGAGGCGACAAATTTAGCAGCCTCAGCCAAAATCTACTGGAATTCAGTTGTGGCTGAGTGAAAGGAGGCAGAAGCTTTATTTGTCTTAAATTTATAATGCGACCAGGGCTGCAACTAAGAGCTATTTTCACTGTGGATTCATTAAAGCCATTTTCAATCATTTAAAGTTCAATCATAAAAAACTTTTAGAGACACATTTTCAGTAGCAAAAATCATATTCAAGAAAAAACTGGAAGCATTGCTAGACTGAACTCGCAACTGGGACATTTGGTAGGAGGAAAACAGTTGACCTGCTGGAAAAGATTAATGAATTAATTGTTGGGTCAATAAATGTCAAAAGACAGTAAAAAAAGGCCAAAAAAAGCTCATTGTAAGCCCAAGATGACGTCTTCAAATTTCATATTTTGTTTACCTGACAGCTCAAAAAGGAAAATATTTAAATGTATTAATTATTCATGATGGCTACAAAGAAAAAACAAACAAAATAAATATTCATATTAAAAAGGCTGGAACCTTCCTTTTTGCTTTGAAAAATCACTTTACTCAAAACGATAAGTTGTTACCTATCGATTTTTTTGTCAACCAGCTAACTTTTTCAGGGCTAAATGCAACACTCAGTTTGTGTCTTTTTGTTTGCCTCTCTGCTTAAAGATCAGGGTCAACTAGGGAGCAGCACCCCAGGAGCTCCAGGGACATTTTACAATTTTACAGTGCAATTACAAATAAGCTATTGGAGTTTGGTACAGCATTAAAAAGAAATTTCAGTAACAATTGTAACCATAACACACACACTGTCACGTTTTCCCTCCAGCACAACAGTTATTCAAGCTGAACACACCAGCTGTCAAAGAGGAGAGGGGTGGGTGACTCATCTCCTTCCACAAACACACACACACAATTTTCAGTTTCACATTTAGAGGCTTAGAAATACTACAGTAGCAGCAGCAATAACACTTGTGACCTTGTGAGTCTTCAGTGCAACAGGCCTGCTCAGCAGCAGTGTCATATTCTCCTCAGAGAGCACTGGGTCTGTGCAGCCACACTGAGGCTTCAGGGCCTTTACTGGTCTAAACATCCTGGATGCTAAGAGGAAAGATGCTACACTGTCCGGATGCTGCGCTCGTCGCAGCATCTCTCAGCGGAATCCCAAACTGAAGGACTCGGCTCACATCCCAAATAACTGGTTCATACATCAGAGACAAGTAACAACACTAATGTGAAAGACTAAGAAGGTCGTGTGGATGCACAGGTTTGAGCTTAAGCCAAATATTATGGTTTAAAAGCGCAAAATCAGAGCCTCCATGATGGCTGGCACCGCCTTTGCATCATCCCAACCCCCTAGCTTCCAGTGGGAGGGGGTGATGTAAAATATGTAGGCCCGGGAGGAGATGATATCTTGTTTTGGTGAACAAACAAGCTGACAAATGACCAAGAAAAGATTAGTAAACCTCAGTTTTGTTCCACGTATGTGTATGAGAAGGAGGGCTGGGAGAAAAACGAGGCGACTTGTCGCGTCTGTTAACGTTGTCTTATTGTCGGCTGCACCCATTTCAGCGCTGACCTAGCATCTCTATTTAAACACATCTCCCTGCCTGTCACACCGACATGTTTTATCAACATGTTTCAGAACCATTTTCATTCATTTAAAGCCGCCACCACCAAGCTTGCTATAATGTAAAGAAAGGGACGTTTTTCCATATCGAAAATCAAACTCTCAATTTATTCGTTGAAAAATAACATGAACATTTGAAGGCATTGTGAAAGACGCTAAACCCGCGACTAGTACATTATTTAGCCGATATGCTAACACCCAGCTGTATACGTATAAATGTACACTTGTTTTACCTTTGTGTACAGCTCCGACGCTGCCATGACGGTTACTCGCTACGTCCTTTCTCCAATCTGGGCTAAAACTCCGGCAGGTCTCCGCTCTGCACGGGACTCGGTGTGTGTGCTCATGAAGCGGGGGGAGAAATCCTTGGTTGCTGCAGGGACTCAAGGTGAAGATGTGTCTCTTGTCGCCATCATAACCTGGAGGGCTTGAGGCTGCTGAGGTTTCGGTGTCTCACTTTGCATTCTGGGTATGATGGATGAAATGATTCAGCCAAACACATAGGGCTGCTGCTGCCGTTGCCTGGAAACCTGCGCCCCCAGGTGGCCAAGGGTTCATAGTACACCAACAACCAAAAAAAAAAAAAGATTTTTGCTCTTACGCCAGAAAATATAGTTATTGAAAAAATAAGGATTAGACAGGAGAATTCTATATCATGTGTTTCTTTTCCTTTAAAATATTGCTTCCATATGAGTCACGTAGTGTAAAACATACTGTATTTCATATAGTTGTCTTTTATAGCTGGGGAGTGCTGCTGCAAACTCCACCTTCTACTGAATAAATAAACCTGTAATTCTAAAAAATAAAACTGTAATTCACCAAGGCCCTCAGCTTTGGGGCCCTACAATCGACATTGTCAGTTTTTACTTTATTCATGGGGATTATCTGGGTTTATATAAGAATACAATAACAATATCTGAGAAATATAAATGTGTTTCTGTCCACTTGGCAATTGTAATTCTGTGTACATGCATAGTCTAGCGAATTTGTTTACTTTAACAAAATTTAGGAGACAATTTTTAGAAATCATTTCAAAAAAATGTTTTGCAACCTTTTAAAAAATACAACAACCCATAATCACTGGCATGAATCACAAAAACTAAGTTAAAGTTAAACTAAGTTTTTTACTGTGGCAAACTGGATGAGTATACTGCAGCTACAATGTCCATGTAAAAGGAAGCATTGTGAAGCTCACAGTAAGATGTTAAATTTTTACTCAGTCTGTCAAAGAGGTGTGAGGCTTTTCACCAGATATTTTTGATGTTTTACTTTGTTGCTACATGTATTGGGGTTTAGTTATGGAAAAAAATACAAAATCTAAATCTAAAAAAACTCAGTCTTAGTGTCTCTGACTATAGGGCTGGATTGCCTCTGACTGGAGTTCAGATTTTTGTACATCCTTTTGACAACAAAACTTGTTAGTTTATCACGTAATGGAATAAATAATCAACATGTCTGCTATATTATCTTAGACTAACTCTAATGGAAAGCTTGTCCTCACCCAAGTTTTCAAAGCATGGGGGAAAAAAAGATACAGATGAACACAATAAACGACACGCTAATTAAACATTTGTGCAAAACTATTTTATTTACAAAACAAAATGGCACAAAGTGGCAGCAGGGCAGCCACATACATGCACAGCTCAGACGGATGTAGTGCTAGCTTAGATTTACCACATCGCAGGTAAACTTCATCCAATCAGCAAGGACCCTGGAAAAGCACTACACAGGGCTGAGGACAATTTTAAGATAAAACTACTTTAATTTATGAGTATAGGTTTTTTTTCCCAAATTAGAACACAATTCATTACACTCTTTGTTCCCAGTGCCAACTTCTGCTCCCAGTACATTTTTTAACAATAGCTTTCTACTAACACAGCACAAAGACTGGTCCCTACTGACAAGAGTTTAGCTTTCAGGTCCTGTATACTCCACTACCTTCTTCTAGCACGGTAATGCCTCATTCATGACAACTTGGAACTAGAAACTTTGACCCAAGGAGAAGACTGTGTCATCCCCTGAGGCTGAAATGCATGGCACACCATAAATACAGTGCAAACTCTCCACATTACACTTCATGTTGAAGCCAACAACGGCATCCCCTCCTCTTTCACACTTGAAAGAAGTTCTTAGTTTCAAGATGTCTTGAATGAACTATCTACCTGCCACCCAGAGCTTTTATGTTGCAACCGAGCTTTCCAGCATCTGTTTAGATGTCTGTTCAGTGCACCTTAATGAATTCAAATGGAGCTCTGTGAGGTTTGCCTTTGGGAGCCCTGCGTCACACATGCAGGCTTCACTGTGTGGTCCTTTAGTATGGCTTCCCCCGTGTTTCACAATCAAAGCATTAACAAAACTGAGCATGGCCTCTGGATTACAATACTCAGTCCATCACTCAAGCATATTGACAGCATAATTTAGAATAAGGACATACAGTGAATTATACAAATCTGCTGTTAAACGTTCTAAAAGGCTGATGTCTGCCCCTGTGCCAAACAAAAGCATGCGTATTACACACACACACACTCTCACACACACACACACTCACACACACACACATATATCCAAACTGTGGAATCCTGATGTCTATACCAAAGCCCTTCAACCACACAAGATGCAGCTTCTGCTTCATGCCCCTCTCTTCAGCCAGTAAACACCGTGGTATCGATCGTCCATCAGTCGTACAGAAGAGTCACAGTCTGCTCGTCACACTCACACTTGGATGTCCTGTCTTTCAGTGTATCTTACATTGAAGTAATGAGAAAATAAAAAGGATAAAAAGGAACATGGAAAGGAAACATTGACAGAAGGGCAGTCAGTCTGGGGGAGTAGCAAGGGACAAAAACAAGGACAGGAGGCAGTAGAGACAGGGCCAAGTGGGGTGAAACTAAAATAAACAGGAATTGAAGGTATCAGCTAGCCAGTTCACTGGCTGCCAGGTGTGGGCCTTGTTCAATGGGGTCCAGGCTGTTAGGGAAGGGGCGGAGGCTGGGGACAGGTGGTACTGTAAGGGGGTGGGAGAGGTAATGTTACAGCTCTGAGACTTGAGTGGAAAGGGTTAGGGCTGGGAGGTGCTGCAGGGGATGTTGAGGCTGCGTGTGCATCAGCCTGCCAGTTTACTGGCCACCAGAGAGGGTTTCCTCTGTGGCAGGTCCTGGGGGGTGGGGATGTGGTCCCCTGTGATCTCGGTCTTCTCTGGTGCAGCTGTTGGCAACTGTTTGTTCTTTATCTTCGCTTTAGCCATGTTGTAGTCGCCTGAGTCAAAGTACTTTTGCTGTGGAGAGACATACAATTTAAATTTTAAACTACAAAAAATGCACTTCCACCACTAAATAATGCAACATTCAATGTTAGAAATATTTCAAATATTCTAATTACATTGTAAACAGAAATTAATTGTAACTTCAGTATACAGCGTATAAAGGTTTGATGATATTTTATGCCTATTTTTATAGACTTGCCTAGCTTATATTAACTATATGATAAAGGGAGCAAATGCCAAAACTTATGATCTAGCTATAAAAAGGTACCCTGTGGAGTGTCTGATGACTAGTCGTGGTGTGGAGCAATGTTTTTATGAGTGGCCCTTGGACCAACCCAAGGATACACACAATGCATTTTTGTGGGAAACACTGTAAACATCTGTTTGTTTACAAGAAAACTCCACCGGGCACTTTTAAGCTACAGTATTTAAACTTGTTTGGCAAATTAATATATGCAGGGTTGTAATTATTATTTATCTAATTATTATTCTCTTTACTGGTAATGTCTCTATTGTTTATTTCATTTATCAAATAACAATCCAGCACAAGTTATAAATTGCTTAATTAGTCTTACCAAGTTGAAAAATATTTAATTTTGATTATATGAAATATGATAAAAAAAAAGTGCTCATTGTAAAACTGTTACCAACACATGACTGGTTTAGTATGTGTGTTTTACCTGATAAATGACTTAATATTTGCCAGTAAAGAAATCAATTAATCATCTTATCATTTCCGCACTCTTGAGTGTGAAGACAAAACTTCTGTTTCCAATGAATTAGTTGGTTTTTAAATTACTTTAATTATGGATTATTCATTTGATTACTTAGTATAGCAAAATATCAAAAATGGAATCAATAATGGAAAGTGTCCATTACAAATTATTACTAGAACGTAAAGTGATGACTTCAAATTTCCTGTTTTCCCTGACCAGCGGGCAAAGGCTTAACAATGCCATGAAAACAGAGAGAAACTGCAAACCCTCACATTTGAGAGGCTGCAACCACCAAGTATTTGTAGGCATTTTAACTTGATAAATGAACAGTCAGTTATCATGATTGTCCACTAATCTTCTGTCAATGTACTAATCATTCCAGTATCACATTATAAGACAGGTTAAAACATATGGAGACAACCCTAACCCTAGTTTGCAGTGTATGAGGTACATCTAGCTAAACCTAACACAGTCTAAAACAACATCCCTGCAATAAATACTGTCGTCATGAAGGCTATAAAGTTCAGGTTTTGTTGAAACAGTTGAGTGGTGTTCACTCAATCTTGTGGTCATTTTGGAAACTGTAGCTTGTTGTATTGTTGATATGTATTGTGTTATACTGAGAAGCATTTCCAAAATTTAGTCTGTTCTCATTGATATAAGTGGTGTGCTTTGAAAAAGGCTAGTTAGTTATTTTTATCAAAAAGCATTAGTTTAGATATACCCAGTAACCTGGTAACTGAGTGTAAGTGCAGTGTTACTAACCACAAATGACAGTGGGCTCAAAGCCTGCCCTCAAGTGAGGCCTGAAAGTTATGAGACAAACACAAGAGTTAACTCACCCCCTTTTGGAGGCGTTTGCGAAGCAGGTCAGAGCCTCCAGGTTTATTTCCTAAATTTGGGTATCTGGCCTTCAGTTTAGCCTCCTCCGCCTTCTCAGGGCTGATCACTTTGTCCTGAACCTCCTGAAAAAAGCAGAAGTATGAGGCATTGAGATGACAGTGAAATTTCTTGCTCAAAAACCACATAGTTACTTGCACAATAAGAGAGTACATTCACCAGATACCTCCAGGCCCCCACTGAAATATTTGCCATCTGATGGCACTGCGGTATGGAGATAATCTCACTGTTCACATTAGACCTTTACAAACGTATGCACACATTTCTGTAAAATATCTAGGTTACATTGGTTTACTGTAGATATTTAACATAAGCTGATCAACATTAGCAAGAGTGTTTAAATAGTCACCTACCAGGTTCAAATTACCGCTACTGCTACCATGGCTGTGTGGGTTCACTGGGCTGGGCGGCCGGTTGGGATTAACGCTGACCGTTAAATTCGCTGCTAAAACTGCTTGTTGTGTACGTTACACACAGCTGAGATGATAGCACTTTAGCAG